GCATAAGGAAGGTGAAGGAGGCATAAGGAAGGTGAAGTAGGCATAAGGAAGGTGAAGTAGGCATAAGGAAGGAAAAGTAGGCATAAGGAATGAAAAAGTAGGCATAAGGAATGAAAAGTAGGCATAAGGAAGGAAAAGTAGGTATAAGGAAGGAAAAGTAGGCATAAGGAAGGAAAAGTAGGCATAAGGTAGGTGGAGAAGGCATAAGGAAGGTGAAGGAGGCATAAGGAAGGAAAAGTAGGCATAAGGAATGAAAAGTAGGCATAAGGAAGGAAAAGTAGGCATAAGGTAGGTGGAGGAGGCATAAGGAAGGTGAAGGAGGCATAAGGAAGGAAAAGTAGGCATAAGGAAGGAAAAGTAGGCATAAGGAAGGAAAAGTAGGCATAAGGAAGGAAAAGTAGGCATAAGGAAGGAAAAGTAGGCATAAGGAAGGAAAAGTAGGCATAAGGGAGGAAAAGTAGGCATAAGGGAGGAAAAGTAGGGATAAGGAAGGTGAAGTAGGGATAAGGAAGGTGAAGTAGGATAAGGAAGGTGAAGTAGGATAAGGAAGGTGAGAGAAAACTCAGCATTCCATGTAACACAGAGAACAAAAGAAATGTACCGGATATAGATCAAGGAATAAATCGATAAAAAAAGGCGAGTGGAAGAACAAGGGATGAAGTGGATTTTCCAAATGGCGACACGGAAGGGCAGGGAAAATCGCGAAATAGTTTCGACACAATCCGGATTACCTTCCAGGGTTCCCAAGGCTGCTGCAACAATCCGCGAATTTTCCCGCAGTTCTGGCGAACCTCGCTGCCTTGCTTGCTTCTTTAATTTCTTTGTTGTGCTGTTGACGAGCCTGCTCGACGCCTCCTCGGAAGGGGAGGGGGTTTTAAATATATTCCCCCCTCACCCCTTACCCTATTCTGGGATATTTTATACCACGTGGAACTTTTTTTTTTTTCGTCCCCAGTTACTGGAAATTAGCGAGAATTTTTTTTTCTACGTCACTGTTGTGCATTTTGACAAATCCGCTGTCTTATATTGCTACTACAAAATTTCCATATAATTTCTGATCCTTGTATACTAACTATTGACTATTTTAAATAGTTTGGTTATATTTTAAGTTTATTATTAATGTAGACTATTTTATAAATGAACCTGATGAATTTACACAAGGATATTTTATAAGTGTAGCCTATATTAATGTTGTAAAATATAGTTTTGCATCTATCGGATTTTTTTTTTACTTAGGTTCGGTAGCCAGTAACTGGAGGAGCCACACACTCACCAGCACTTGTACTCTCGTTGTGTTACCTCGACTCCACGAGTCATCATGATAGTGATGACTCGTAGATACAACGTCATCTTATCATTATGATAGTGATGACTCACAGATAAATCTTATCTTGTCATCATGATGTAGTACCTGTAAGTCATCACTATCATGATGACAAGATGACGTAGTATCTGTGAGTCATTGCTAACATGATGACAAGATGACGTTGTATCTGTGAGTCATCGCTAACATGATAACAAGATGACGTAGTATCTGTGAGTCATCGCTAACACGATAACGTTGTATCTGTGAGTCATCACTATCATGATGACAAGATGACGTTGTCTGTGAGTTACAACTGTCATCTTGTCATCATGATAGTGATGACTGTCACACCCAGTCTTCAATATATTTAAATCTTTCTCATTCATTAACAAACCTATTTTAGCAGTTTGTTGCTACTCTACTGCGCCTTCTCTTTCCTCACGTTCTGTTACACTCGTATTTATAATCGTATTTGAGGAAAGCACTAAACTCGTAAGGGTCATACATTGTGTGGGTACATCTGCAGCTTTCATTCCCGCATCCATTCTGTATTTACATCTTTCACTTTAGCGACTAAACTCGAAAGATTTATTCTCTCATATTTTCCACTATCTCGTACCCTTTATTAATAGGAATTGCTCACGCTTTTTGCTAATCCTTTGGTGCTTTCCCTTCTTTCATTACATAAACTAAAACGTAACATCTAATCCAACATTTTATCCTTATCTGGTTTCAAAATTTCAATCTTAAAACCTTTCCCTACAGCTGGTTTTTTTTTTCTCTCAGCGTACCTACTAATTCACTCAGTTGCTACGTATCTCGCTACTGTCTCTTCATATATATCCTCTTATTATACATTTTTATTATCTATCTGAAGGATGCAATGTTGACCGCCTGTCTAGTCATAACATATAGTTCTTAAAGTATTTTTCTCATCTTTACAATACCTCAACTGTTGTGTCCAGCATTTCACTTTTTTTTCCTAACGGATTCATTTGATTAATTTTTTCCTCAGTGTTCCAAAAATTATTTCGTATTATCCACAAATTTTGATTGCATTGGCTTCTATAGTGATAACACCTTTTTTTTCATTCACCACTTTTCTCTACATGTTTTCTTATCACTTACATACTGTCAAAGCTTCTCATCATCGAATATTGTTCCTTATCAAGTCACAAATGATTTTTTTTTTAGTTTTTCACGTATCCTTATGTAACAAACTACGGCTGTACACTGACACCGAAGTCTTGAAGGACAAGATATTTCCTGAACCTTCTTGTCTGCCTCTGCTGATCACTGACACGGAAGTCTTGAATGACAAGATATTTCCTGAACCTTCCTTGTCTGCCTCTGGTGATCACTGACACGGAAGTCTTGAATGACAAGATATTTCCTGAATCTTTCTTGTCTGCCTCTAACAAACATCACTTCTAAGAATGATTCAAATTTTAAGTAATATTTTTCCTTAATTCATTCGCTTTTCTTTGAAGCTAACGATAAAGTTCTGCAAATATTCTTCCACCTGTCGCTTACGCTATCTACCTGCAAGTGCTCTCATCGACTGTGTAAAACCTGTGTTATAAAATACCTTCCTCTCAATCTTTTATTACCCAGACAGTTCTAGGTTCGCACCTTATTTTTCCTCCTTGTTTATCTTTCCCATTTTCATTTTATCTTACTAAATATCTTTCTCAGAATATGTAAGTAATATTAGATCCAAACTTTGCTACTACAGCTTCTACAACAATACCTGTAGAAGCATATGACTATCTAAACATTCTCTAAGAGCTGTCTAGCCACTATTGTACCCACATGCACCAATACATGCTTTTACCCGCTTCATATATCCCACACCAATCTTTTCTATAATTATTCATTAACCTGTACTGCCATTTCATCTTCAGTTCTCAGATAAACCAGACTTAGTACCATGAAGTCTTTTTTGTCACTTGTTTTCTGTTATGGTACTGGACACAGTTTTACTCGTGATAACCCTTAGTTCTCTGTTAATATCTGTATGTCATCCATGCTTCTTAAAAATGTTGGTGTTATGTGAATATAAAAATCATTAAAGTAACTCACCTTCAAAATTTTCTAACTTTTACATTAGATTATTATATATAAACTATATTACACGTATAAAAACCAGCTTTCTCTCCCTTCATGGCAATTTAATCGCCTCATACGAAATTTCTTCGGGAAAATTTGAAAGTTCTCAAAAAAAAAGAGCCACTCCTATGAAACCTATAGAATAACAAAGATGAGTTCATAATAAATGTGAAATAGACTTACGTACCTGTCTACGTCTTGTCTGTATCACTATACCATTTCTCAGAGAGAGGAAAGTTTACCTATACTTTCAAGGTAAAACATATTTAAGAAGCGTAGTATTTCCCTGCACGGTAGTTGCCTAGTAAATTACTACCTTTTCATAGTTTGTATTATCATTGCTCGATAAGATTAATGACGAATACGATTTAAGCTTTTCTACGATTACTCGAAGATCATTGATGCTGTATATCGATCTTCACCACAAGTCTAGAATACTTTAAATCTCTAAAATAAAATGCATACCTTAGAATATATACACCTTTCAGTGTATATATATATCCCGACATGTAGCAAATTATTTCTCTAGTTTTATTATAACTATAATGTAAAATAATTATAGATTATGCCGAAAATGAATGTTAGAATTATTATCCATAATTATAGTACACAAGTAAGCTACATTAAAATTAGAAGCCGCTGCAACTGAATGTTCTATTTTACCTAAAAGGAAACAGTATCATCCCTCTTAGCGATGATAAAAATTTACTCAATAATTATAGACATTATATTAATAAGGTTTCTTTCATTCAGAAACAACAGTTAAACTCTAAGTCTGCAGTGTTCAGTAATTAGTACAGTTAGAGGCTGCTGTTGTAAATGATCGTACCTGATTTAGATTCAGAATTGTAGATGGCCATTACGATGTTAGCAATGAATGTGTGTGTGTGTTTGTCACTGCATATTTTGACGAATATATATATCTTCATGCATGAATACGTGTAAAGATGAATATCTACGTTTATATATAATATATATATATATATATATATTAACAAGTCGGCAGTCTCCCACGGAGGCAGGGTGACCCAAAAAGAAAGAAAATCCCCAAAAAGAAAATACTTTCATCATTCAACACTTTCACCTCACTCACACATAATCACTGTTTTTGCAGAGGTGGTCAGAATACAAAAGTTTAGAAGTATATACGTATAAAGATACACAACATATCCCTCCAAACTGCCAATATCCCAAACCTCTCCTTTAAAGTGCAGGCATTGTATTTCCCATTTCCAGGACTCAATTCCGGCTATATAAAATAACCGGTTTCCCTGAATCCCTTCACTAAATATTACCCTGCTCACACTCCAACAGCTCGTCAGGTCCCAAATACCATTCGGCTTTATTCACTCCTCTCTAACACGCTTAGGCACGCTTACTGGAAGTCCAAGCCCCTCACCCACAAAACCTCCTTTACCCCCTCCCTCCAACCTTTTCGAGGACGACCCTATCCCACTTTAATCCCTATAAACCCATATTTGTTATTAAAGTATCTTTGATGCTTTGGTGGTAAAGCGACCAGAATGAGTAGGAGGGAGGATGTAAGAAAGAGAAAAAGGAAGATGGGTAGAAATGAAGTTATCACCTTATCGTCGTGGTACCAGAAGATGAAGGCAGGAGGCTCGGGGCTGTACTTTACACTACACGTTAGAGCCAGGCGGCTGCCAGTGTTGATGTAGACGTCAGGACCACCTATGATCACCGTCTCCGGCTCTGTGTCAGGAAGAGAAACCTCTAGTCACACACTAGCAAATGAAACGCTGGAAATGAGGTGTGAAATATGTGAGTTCATAGAGTGGTAATGAGGAGTAAAGGAAGACACAAATGCTCAGAAATTAGGAGCGAAGCAAATGATAAAAAAACACATGGAAATGTGGAGAAAATGGTAAACACAAAGCAGAAAACTGCACGAGCAACGCTGCCTTGACAATTAAGGCGAAAACTGTGAATTTACTCATTACATGGATAACGGAACACATTTCGATGTATACTGAAGCTATCTAATCTGAAACGATTTTTCTGTTTTGAGCCCACCGATAGGTTATGCACATTTCGCAATATTCAGTGGGTTCTACAATGAACACGCGTCATATTTTGGATCATTGGGGGAAAAGCATTTCTGGGGGTTAACAAAGAAGGGTAACTTAGCCTTACCTAAATTAGGAGTTACATTTTAGGTTACTTTAGATTGAGTAACGTTTGGTTTTTGGTTACAAAAAAAATATCTCCATAGGCCCAAAATACAAGTGTTTCCATTGCACATACAGTTCAATTTTAGAGACTAAATAAAGTATATTACCTGTATATTTACGATTGCCTTGGGCATTGTTCCAGCTTCCTTAACAAACGAATTTACTTAAAAAAAAACAAAAGATTCTTCCCACTGTCATTTTGTACATATATGCTCAAATGTATACCCCGTTCATGTATCTTAAAATTTACTTCGATACTGTATAGAAAATGAGGATTCTAAACACCTCACCCATCACTATAAATCTCTATAAACTACCTATACTACTAATATTTATTTTCTGCTTAACACAAAGCACAGAGCGGCACAAGTTACGAAATTAACAGTTAAGGAGACTTGGAATCACTGGGTGCTTATATCATCTATACTTTATTTTTTGTAACTCTGAAAGAATCTTTAAGGAGCAAATACAATATATAAAGTGGAAAAACATGTAGTGAGTTTTTTGACAGCACTTGTTAGATAACAGAGCCCGAGACGTGCCAGAGAGAACACAACCGAAGTCTCCTGCAAGTCCGAATTGTTTTTCTCTTTGGCTTTGACAGCACCGTGTGCAGAAAATGCAACCTCACGAAGATACGTGGACACAAATATCGTCAGAATCCGTACTGCTTAATGTGAGGTTTGAAATCCTCTGCTGAGAAGTTAAACTTCAGCTCAAGAAACTCTTCTGCACTTCTTCCGAAACTTCAGCTACTTCACATTAGAATGGGTTCCTGGTGAATTTCCAGGCCTTGCACTTTTCGTCCAAAAGTATGAGGTTTACCTAAATTTGTTCACCTATAGTGGAATTTCACATTTCGATTGACGTAGTTCAAAATACCGCAAGACAAGCAAACACACGTCTTGGCTTTAACCTTCTGCTGACCAAAATTCTTAAATTTTTCTTCCATTCACTTTGACTAAGATCTTCATTGTTTAGCATATAAATGCCATAGTTATTTCCTTTCCCTAGGATTAGAACCTAGGAAAAGGTCATTCTGTAACATTCTAGTGTGCAAATAAGAGAGGAATTGAAAAGAACACTGACAGAATGTTTCAGAAATGGGTTACAGGAACAAGAGGTCATAAAGGATGTTAGGAAGTATTTCTTAAACCTTAATGTTGTCATGAATTGGAACAATCTGGAGAGTGAAGTAGAGGCGAGATCCATACATAGCTTTAAGAAGAGATACGATAAAGCCTTTGTCAAACTTGCTGACGTCGCTATTTATTTGCTCATCAATGTAGTTAATGTAGATCGTGAACAACGTGAATATTGTATAAAAACAACGTTCCATGTATAATGTCAGTTTCCGAAATTGGTTCTGAAACCGGACGCCTATTATTTCTCGTCAGTCAGAGTGGCCATGATAGGAGAGTGAGGTGTGTTTGGAGGCAGTTCGTGGAGCGCAGCAGCTGGAGCAATTGTCCTAAGACGTCACGATTTTGTGTTTGTAGGGATTTTTTTTGTAAGTATATATCATAGGTTATTTTATTGGTTTAAGTGCTCTCATGTTTACCTGTAAGACCCTAGTGTGGAGAGGCCTATTAAAGTTTTGGGAGAGTACTTGTACAGCCTGCAGGTTGAGCAGCCTGCAGGTTGAGCAGCCTGCAGAAGGGGTGGGGTGTGAGGGAGCCTCCCTGTTTGTATATATGTGAATTGGTGTGTAGTAGAGTAGATAGTATGTTGTATATGTAGGTTTATTTTTTTTTTAACAAGTCGGCCGTCTCCCACCGAGGCAGGGTGACCCAAAAAGAAAATACTTTCATCATTATTCAACACTTTCACCTCACTCGCACATAATCACTGTTTTTGCAGAGGTGCTCAGAACGCAAGTTTAGAAGCATATACGTATAAAGATACACAACATATCCCTCCAAACTGCTAATATCCCGAAAACTTCCTTTAGAGTACAGGCATTGTACTTCCCATTTCCAGGACTCAAGTCCGGCTATATAAAAATAACCGGTTTCCCTGAATCCCTTCACTAAATATTACCCTGCTCACACCCCAACAGATTGTCAGGTCTCAAATACCGTTCGTCTCCATTCACTCCTATCGAACACGCTCATGCACGCCTGCTAGAAGTCCAAGCCCCTCGCCCACTAAACCTCCCTTACCTTTTCCTTCCAACCTTTTCGAGGACGACCCCGACCCGGCTTCCTTCCCCTACAGATTTATACGCTCTCCATGTCAGTCTACTTTGATCCACTCTCTCTAAATGACCAAACAACCTCAACAACCCCTCTTCAGCCCTCTGACTAATACTTTTATTAACTCTACACCTTCTTCTAATTTCCACACTCCGAATTTTCTGCATAATATTTACACCACACATTGCCCTTAGACAGGACATCTCCACTGCCTCCAGCCGCCTCCTCGCTGCTGCATTCACAACCCAAGCTTCACACCCATATAAGAGTGTTGGTACTACTATAATTTCATACATTCCCTTCTTTGCCTCCATAGACAACGTTTTTTGTTTCCACACATACCTCAATGCACCACTCACCTTTTTTCCCTCATCAATTCTATGATTAACCTCAACCTTCATAAATCCATCCGCCGACACGTCAACTCCCAAGTATCTGAAAACATTCACTTCTTCCATACTCCTCCTCCCCAATTTGATACAATTTTTCTTTAAATCATTTGATACCCTCATCACCTTACTCTTTTCTATGTTCACTTTTAACTTTCTACCTTTACACACACTCCCAAACTCATCTACTAACCTTTGCATTTTTTCTTTAGAATCTCCCATAAGCACAGTATCATCAGCAAAAAGCAACTGTGTCAATTCCCATTTTGTATTTAATTCCCCATAATTTAATCCCACCCCTCTCCCGAACACCCTAGCATTTACTTCTTTTACAACCCCATCTATAAATATATTAAACAACCATGGTGATATTACACATCAACAAGACCTACTTTTACCGGGTAGTAGTCTCCCTCTCTTCTAAACACCCTAACCTGAGCCTCACTATCCTCATAAAAACTCTTTACAGCATTTAGTAACTCACTACCTATTCCATATACTTGCAACATCTGCCACATTGCTCCCCTATCCACTCTATCATATGCCTTTTCTAAATCCATAAGTGCAACAAAAACTTCGCTACCTTTATCTAAATACTGTTTACAAATATGCTTCAATGTAAACACTTGATCTACACATCCCCTACCCACTCTGAAACCTCCTTGCTCATCCGCAATCCTACATTCTGACTTGCCTCTAATTCTTTCAGTTATAACCCTACCGTACACTTTTCCTGGTATACTCAGTAAACTTATTCCTCTATAATTTTTACAGTCTCTTTTGTCCCCCTTCCCTCTCTCTGCCAATCCCTAGGTACCTTCCCCTCTTTCATACATTTATTAAACAAAAATACCAACCACTCCAACACTATATCATCCCCTGTTTTTAACATTTCTGTCATGATCCCGTCAGTTCCAGCTGCTTTACTCCCTTTCATTCTACGTAATGCCTCACACACCTCCCCCACACTCACATCCTGCTCTTCTTCACTCCTAAAAGATGGTATACCTCCCTGGCCAGTGCATGAAATTACCGCTTCCCTTTCTTCGTCGACATTTAAAAGTTCCTGAAAATATTCTCGCCATCTACCCAAAACCTCCATCTCCCCATTTACTAACTCCCCTACTCTGTTTTTAACTGACAAATCCATACGTTCCCTTATCTTTCTTAACTTGTTTAACTCCAAAATTTTTTATTTTCATTAAAATTTTTTGACAGTGCCTCTCCCACTCTATCATCTGCTCTCCTTTTGCACTCTCTCACCACTCTTCACCTTTCTTTTATTCTCCATATACTCTACTCTTCTTATAACACTTCTGCTTTGTAAAAAACCTCTCATAAGCTACCTTTTTCTCTTTTATTACACCCTTTACTTCATCATTCAACCAGTCGCTCCTCTTTCCTCCTACACCCACCCTCCTATAACCACAAACTTCTGCCTCACATTCTAATACTACATTTTTAAAACTATTCCAACCCTCTTCAACCCCTCTCCCCCTCACTACTCATACTTGCACCAGCCCACCTTTCTTTCAATAGTTGCTTATATCTCACCCGAACTTCCTCCTCCCTTAGTTTATACACTTTCACCTTTCTCTTACTTGTTGTTGCCATTTTCCTCTTTTCCCATCTACCTCTTACTCTAATTGTAGCTACAACTAAATAATGATCCGATATATCAATTGCCCCTCTATAAACGTGTACATCCTGGAGTCTACCCATCAACCTTTTATCCACCAATACATAATCTAACAAACTACTTTCATTACGTGCTATATCATACCTTGTATATTTATTTATCCCCTTCTTCATAAAATATGTATTATTACAAAACCTCTTTCGACACATAGCTCAATTAAAGGCTCCCCATTTTCATTTACCCCTGGCACCCCAAATTTACCTACTACTCCCTCCACAACATTTTTGCCCACTTTAGC